AATCATCTACCTACAGTTTTTTCAGTTTGTCTCTCGCCTGAGTGGTGGGTTGACACGGGTGCTAATATTCATGTATGTTCTAATGTTTCTTTGTTTTCTTCTTATCAGGAACAAAGAGGTTGCTCCTTGCTGATGGGAAACGGTATGCATGCTGCTGTACTTGGTGTTGGTACGATCAATCTGAAGTTTACTTCGGGAAAGATCGTGCAGCTAAAGAACGTGCAGCATGTCCCCTCCATCAAGAAGAATCTCGTTAGTGGGTCTCTATTGTGTAGAGACGGCTTTAGACTTGTGTTTGAGTCCAATAAATGTGTTGTATCCAAGTATGGAACCTTTGTTGGAAAAGGCTATGAAAGCGGAGGCTTGTTCCGCTTCTCTTTGATGGATTCTTGTGATAAAATTGTGAACCATGTGAGAAATGATGATGAGTCTAATGTTTGGCATTCTTGACTCTGTCACATCAATGTTGGTTGTATGACGCGCTTAGCTAGTTTAAAATTAATCCCTAAAATCGATCTGGTCAAAGGGTCTAAGTGCCATGCTTGTGTTCAAGCGAAGCAACCTCGCAAGCCTCACAAGGCTGTGAAAGAGGCGAGAAATTTGGCACCGCTAGATCTCATTCATTCTGATCTGTGCGAGATGAATGGTGTGTTGACCAAAGGAGGAAAGAAATATTTCATGACTCTTATTGATGATAGCACTAGATTTTGCTATGTGTACTTGCTAAAAACAAAGGATGAAGCAATGCATTATTTTAAAATCTATAAAGCTGAAGTAGAGAACCAATTGGAAAGAAAAATCAAACGGTTGAGGTCTGATCGTGGGGGAGAATACTTTTCACATGAGTTTGATTCATTCTGCGAGGAACATGGAATTATTCATGAGAGGACGCCTCCATACTCCCCCCCAATCCAATGGGATTGCCGAACGAAAGAATCGCACTCTAACTGATTTGGTTAACGCCATGTTAGACACTGTGGGACTTTCCAACGAATGGTGGGGTGAGGCTATATTGACGGCATGTCATGTCCTGAATAGAGTTCCTACAAAGAATAAAGAAGTAACACCATTCGAGGAATGGGAAAAGAAAAGGTTGACTCTCTCATACCTACGCACTTGGGGATGCTTGGCCAAGGTGAATGTGCTAATCGTCAAAAAATGCAAACTTGGACCAAAAACTGTAGATTGTGTGTTCCTCGGTTACGCTTTACACAGCGTCGGCTATAGATTCCTAGTTGTAAGCTCTGGAGTACCTGACATGCGTGTCGGTGCAGTGATTGAGTCCAGAGATGCTACATTCTTTGAGAATGAATTTCCTATGAGAGGAAATGTACCTAGCACATCTAGTCAAAAACCTATTGATTCCCCCGTGGCGCCAACAGAACATCTTGAACAAACATGTGTTGAGAATCCTGAGGAGGATAATAGTGGAGCTACTCAAAAGAGTAAGAGACAGAGGACTATAAAGTCTTTTGGTGATGATTTCACTATATACCTCGTGGATGACACTCCAAGCACCATTGCTGAGGCATTTTCCTCTCCCGATGCTGACTACTGGAAGGAAGCAATGCGAAGTGAGATGGATTCAATTATAACCAATGGAACTTGGGAGATTGTTGATCGTCCTTATGGGTGCAAGCCTGTAGGATGTAAATGGGCGTTCAAGAAAAAGCTTAGGCCTGATGGTACGATTGAAAAGTACAAGGCAAGGCTTGTGGCTAAGGGTTATACCTAGAAAGAAGGCGAGGACTTCTTTGATACTTATTCACCAGTGGCCCGATTGACCACAATCCGAGTACTGCTTGCCCTGGCTGCGTCTCATGGTCTTTTCGTTCATCAGATGGATGTTAAGACGGCTTTCCTAAATGGAGAGTTAGATGAGGAGATCTACATGGATCAGCCTGATGGTTTCGTAGTAGAAGGTCAAGAAGGAAAGGTGTGTAAATTATTGAAGTATTTGTATGGCCTAAAACAAGCACCTAAGCAATGGCATGAAAAGTTTGATAAAACTATGACATCTGTTGGCTTTGTTGCGAATGAAGCCGACAAATGTGTGTACTACCGCTATGGTGGGGGAGAAGGAGTAATCCTGTGCTTGTATGTGGATGACATACTAATCTTTGGGACAAGCCTCAATGTGATTGAGGAAGTCAAGGACTTTTTGTCAAAGAGCTTTGACATGAAGGATTTGGGAGTGGCTGATGTGATACTAAACATCAAACTGCTAAGGGGAGAAAATGGTGGGGTAACACTTGTACAAACCCACTATGTGGAAAAGGTACTGAGTCGCTTTGGTTATAGTGACTGCAAGCCTGTGTCCACTCCCTATGATCCAAGCATGATCCTGAGAAAGAACCGAAGAATAATGAGGGATCAGTTGAGATACTCCCAAATCATCGGCTCAATAATGTACTTGGCTAGTGCAACGAGGCCTGACATCTCATTTGCTGTGAGCAAATTAAGCCGGTTTGTTTCAAATCCGGGAGATGATCACTGGCGTGCTCTTAAAAGAGTATTGCGCTATCTAAAGGGAACGTCGAGCTTTGGCATTCACTATGTTGGGTACCCGAAGGTACTCGAGGGCTATTGTGATGCAAATTGGATATCTGATGCTGATGAGTTAAAGGGCACAAGTGGATATGCATTCACACTTAGAGGTGGCGCTGTTTCCTGGAAGTCTTGCAAGCAGACCATCTTAATGAGGTCAACAATGGAAGCAGAACTTGCAGCACTTGATACCGCTACTGTTGAGGCTGAATGGCTCCGTGAGCTCCTTATGGATTTGCCGGTGGTTGAAAAACCTATGCCCGCAATTTCTATGAAGTGTGATAACCAAACAGTAATTATCAAGGTAAACAGTTCAAAGGACAACATGAAGACCACTAGGCATGTAAAGCGGCGGTTAAAATCTATCAGAAAATTGAGAAACTCCGGAGTAATAGCATTGGACTATGTCCATACGTCTAAAAATCTGGCAGATCAATTTACTAAGGGACTATCACGTAATGTGATAGATAGTGCATCGAGTGAGATGGGACTGAGACCCACATGAAGTTCTATCATAGTGGCAACCTGTCCTATGTGATCGGAGATCCCGTAATTAGGATGGTGAAACAAGCTATGGGTAGACTGAGGGAAGAGACCCTTTTAATAAAGGTCAATCTCTTGAGTAATGCACTTCTCTTCCTATCTGTATGGCAGGTTGGCAAATACCTCAATGTGATCCGAGTGGCTTAATGAGAAGCAAAGATGTGAGCCTCTGAGGGCATCTTAAAGGAACACACCTATGTGAGTTCGATTGCTAGTCACAATCTATGAGACTTGGGTGATCTCTAGATACTCATGAATAGGCCAGAGTATGACCTATATGCTCCAACCGGAGGGATGCTACAGCAAAACAGTAGTATCGATAAAGGAATCGAGTGAGCCTCACTTTGCACAAAACTGTCAATTTAAGGCATAGTCCATTGGTCAGTTGTAAATGAGTGTAAACTCCTTTTCTAGATGGATGTTTAACTTAATAGTCTCCATCGAAACACTAGTATATCAAACAAGCTCAGAACTGAAGACATTAACTGTGGGCTTCTGAAGTTTGGTGGGGATTGTTAGATTAATTTGGGCCAGGCCCATTATTTATTCTAATTAATCAAATAAACTTCAAAGGCCCACAATTATTGAAGTGGAAAAGTGATTAGTACCACATGGGAAATTCACTAAAAAGGTTCTCAACTTAAATAGTAAGTCTTAAGACTCTCTCATAGACAAGTTGAGAGGGAGAACCGGGAGGCCACACGCGCGCGCCACCGCCGACGCCGGGCCGAGGGCGTGGGCGTGGGCTGTGGGCCCTGGCCTGGCCTGGTTTTGTCGCTTGGCCCAACCGAAACCCTAGCCACCGCAGCCAACTCCCACCGCCCAACCACCCTGTCCAGGTTCATTCCCCGGCAGAGGCCTAGCAGACGAGATGGGGGGAACGGCGCGGCTATAAGGGCGCCTGTCCGTGCGCCAGACGGAGACTGAACCAATGACTCTTCCTCTTCCTCCTCTCATAAACATCCCGAGCATTGAGCTGTTAAATCTGCATCTCCGCCGGAGTTCCCTGCAGCGCCACAGGGAGCTTGGTGTGAGCCTCCGGAACTTCCCCCGTCAAGCGTACCTGCACGGGTAGGCGGGGAATCAAGTTTTTGGGGAGCACCGGCTTCCCGCGCGCGACTGCTGCCCTGTCTCCGCTTCTGCAGGTTCCTGTTCGACGGAGAAGATGGTGGCTCACTATCCGTGGGTACCAGCAGTTCCACCCTAGGGTATAAACCTAATCCCACTGTGCTTTATTGTTTATATGCTATTCTGTTAGCGTTGTTAGCGTACTTGGTTGCTGCTCTGTTAAATACTATCTACAGTAGTGGTGGTGTTACAGTATGGTTAGTGGTACTCTTACTGTTGGTTAAGTCGTTTTTATGGATTAATATAAGTCGTAAATTGACCAAATGTTCAACATTATAAGCCCACTTGTCAGTAAAGAAAATTTTACTCTATCTGTTCTAAATTATAAGTTGTTTTAATTTTTTTTACATCAATTTACTATGCATCGAGATATAATAATATGTCTAGATATATAATAAAATGGATGAAAAAAAAATCAAAGCAACTTATAATTTGGAATAAAGGGAGTAATTTATAAACTGATGATCTCTCCCGACCCAAATTATACAAGTTGCCGGTATGACTAGTCCACGTGTTCAACCTACAGTGACCGAGTGACTTAACCGATGATTGCCCTTAATACCAAACCTATAGTGACGTAACGCATGATGCTCAAACTCCTATTTTTCCCAAGGATACGGATGCTTTTAAAATCCCCCACCAATCCCGCATTTCTTGTCTCCCTCACAGCGCGGCCGGCTGCTTCACAGCTCCAGTGACCACACCAGCGAAGCAGGGGAGGGCCAGGCGCAACGCAACAACGCAAGGCGGCGGCGATGAGCTCTGCGGCTGCGGCGGCGACGATGACGGGGGCGGGGAAGGTGGTGTGCGTCACCGGCGCATCAGGGTACATCGCGTCCTGGGTCGTCAGGCTGCTCCTCGACCGCGGCTACACCGTCCGCGCCACCGTGCGGGACACCGGTGCGCGCATCCCGGCCCGTCCTCCTCCCCATCTCTTCTTCCCTTTCCCAATGATTCCTTGTGGTAGCTTGCGGAATTGCTGCGATGTTTTCTGAGATTGGTTAGGTTAGACTGGGAATTGATTGGTTGGCAGGGGACCGGATATTCTACCTTGGTAAATTTGGGATGGTAGATTTGGTACTACGTATTTTGCTTCTGGATCCACTTGCCGGAGGCACCACGAAATCTTGATTGCAACTGTATACTGAAAAATGCTGGTACCGATCAACTTGGTTGGTCAGTTTATTAAGGAGCACTTTGTATCCCCACACATATCACCACACCAAATTCCAGAAGGGAGAGAATAAGCCCCTCTTTGGGTGGTGGTGGTGGGGGGGAACAGTAGAGGAACTCTGTGTCCTATGTAACCCTCAGGAACAAACTAAGGAATGTCATGAATATCGGCTAAAACATGTGGCTCAAGTGTCCAACCTCATGTTCAATCTCTTCAGCTTCATGTGTATTTCCTACTTCCCTTCCAAGTGGCAACGGATAAACGAATTTTATGGGACTCTGCAGTTCTCTATGTTGCGTTTGCACTTCTACCAAACTCTTGTATCTTTTTTTAATTTTTACTATTTTCGTGCTCTTTGTTTTTCATTTCACACACACACCATAATTCTTTAGCAATATTACCTTTGACATACGGTCATTGTTGTTATCTTCACTTTTCAGCTGACCCAAAGAAAACATTGCACCTGACTGCGCTGGATGGAGCTAAGGATAGGCTGCACTTATTTAAGGGTTATTTTGATCCATACCATTACAATTTTTGCGTTTTTAAAATATACCATTACTATTTGTCTATTTCGAAACTTACCATTACAATTTTGTCTCTACCTCATCCGTGCCATTTCTAGGTTTGAAACCATAACGGGACCACCTGCAGGTCACTGTATTTTCATATGACCTAAAATACCCCCGTCATTTTTCTCTCCGCCCACTGACCTAGAGGGCCCACGTGTTATCCTCTACTCCTTTCTTCCTCCGTCCACTGGTGCTCGCCTGCACAGGGCACCGCCCGCTTGCAGGTTCACCAAGGCGACTAGGGCTGCTCTCGAGCTCACCGGCGCTCGACGCCACGCGCAAGGGGAGGCCGGATCGGAGGCTTAGGTGCAAGAGGCGAAGGCAGAGCCCACGACGTCGGAGGGGAGCATGCTGCGGCTGCCGGCGCCGAGTGCCCTCCGCCGCAACAGCCTTCTTCCCCGTCACGCACGAGCTCACTACCGTGTTCCTGGCCCTGTTGCCAAAGAAGCGGATCCAGGCAGGCTGATGGCCGAGCGCATTTCGATCCGCGCTGCCGCGGCTGAACTCGGGACGGCGAGCTCGGGTGCCGGCGAACACAGGCGCGGGCATGCAGCATGAGGCATGGGATCGGTTGAGGGCGTGCGACACCTCCTGCCTCTATCCCTGTTCGGTGCTCGTGCTTGCCATGGAGCGGGTGAGGTCGTGCTTGCCATGTCGCTCGCCGAACCCGCCGCCGCCATGAATCCAGCTGTCGCCGCTCGTGCTTGCCATGATGTCCAGCGGCGGCGCACGTGGGCTGAGCCAGCTAGCAGCGGCGTGCGCGCAAGGCATGGCCAAGGGTGGCATGGGTGGGGAAGAAGCTGTTCTGGAGGAGACGGGAAAGGAGGAAGGAGATGGCTAGTGGGGTCCACACGTCAATGATTTATAGAGAAAGGAAGGTGGAGGGGGCAGTTTTGTCCATATAAAAATACGATGATGCAGTGTACGTCTGCAAGTGGGCCTAAATCCTTTCCAAGTGTATACCGTGGCATATTTCAAAGAGGGGAAGAATTATAATGGTAAGATTCATAATAGGTGAATAGTAATGGCAGTTCTCGAAACTTTAAAAATTACAATGGTAGCAATCCAAATAACCCCTTATTTAAAGCTAGCCTGCTAGAAGAGGGCTCTTTTGACGCTGCAGTTCATGGATGCGACACCGTGTTCCATACTGCCTCTCCCTTTTATAACAATGTCAAGGATCCTAAGGTTTGTTTAATGGAAACTTGATGGAAACAAGAGATGCCGTCTGCTGCTAGATTTATCACACATTTACAGTTTTTTCAGCTTCATGATGCATGGTGTCTTGAAGGCATAGAGTATTCATGTGTGTTGAGCTTCTGTACTTCCCATCAATTTATTATTGTTATTTTGCACCTAATATAGTAACTAACATGCCCTTCAGGGTTTTTGCATTGAGCCATTCCCTTGGCTGATATGTTGGGGCATTGTACTTCAGTCTGCACTTTTCTTAGTATTCCTTATTGGATAGGGTCACTTTTTAATCCCAAAATTCCTCTTAGTGATTAGTCCATGACCATCATCCCAATACCTAGGCCAACTTGTTTACTCTATATTATGTTTGTAAGCCCTACTTTTTTTTTTGGTAAGCCAAAATCCGAAATAATGGTTTAAGTAAAGTCACAATGATTCTAAACAGAGGATTATTAAATTACAAATCAGGCTTTTACAAGTTTTTAACAGACGTAATGTTTTTACAATAACAATTGACATGTGCCAACATCTACCTATCTACTGATTTCACCTTGTTGGAGTTGGACCCACGTATTACCTTTAACTACCCGAGAAATTACAAATTTTACTAGTTATGTAAGGAGTTATGTGTTTCATTATTTTATCTGTATCTCTGTTCAGGCTGAGTTACTTGACCCAGCAGTTAAGGGAACACTCAATGTTCTTGGTTCATGCAAGAAAGCTTCTATTAAAAAAGTGGTTATCACATCATCTATGGCTGCTGTTTCCTACAACGAGAAGCCAAGGACTCCTGAGGTCACGGTTGACGAGACATGGTTTTCTGATCCACAAATTTGTGAAAAGAATCAGGTATTGTTCCTCCTTTCTACCATAAATAATTATTTCCTCATATAGCTTTTGTATTATTGGTAGTATTTTGGTTGTTCAGCACATATGGTGGAGTAGTAACTATTATGATCGGTTTTGCTAATCCTGGTTCATTTATATGTCCAATTATCTGAAATCTGCATGCTTCGATGCCCTTGTTTGCTTTCATATTAACATACCTTTTTCTTTGGAATATGTTTACCTTGTTCATTCAAAATAATTTATTTAAATGGTATTGTATTGTTTATTCTGGTTATGTAGCCCATGGGCATTTTGTAGGTTTTAGCAGTGATGTATATCGTCCGGTACACCATGACCAGTAATTGCATCATTTATGATAAAGGGATGATGGCTTCATTGTTTTATGGTTGTTACTTTTCTTAGTTTCAGCATATTATTCACTTTGAAACCAACAAAGTGCATGATGCATGAACCATTTGAGTTAGATTAAAATTCATTGAATATCTTGCTCTATGTGTATTTCAATCTCGTTTGATTTTAAGTAGTTCAATGAATTGGTCATATTATGCAGTAGCCTCACAAGATTGTGTAGAGACTAAATAGTTTGTGTTTGGTTGCCAGCATTTGGCATTAGCATGTATCCAGACTTGTGCAGTGCAGTTTACTAGTGTTAGGTTGCCCGCAGAGGCCTATATGTAGGCTTCCATAGTGTTCAAAGAGACCTAAGGCTGCAATAGCCAGTACGCCAAATTTGGTCGTATTTACCCAATGGGGTCCACAAAAATAGAATTTCCACGCCTCCCTTGCCTCTACTAGAACATAGAAGTGGGATGATTACATGTAATACAATGTAAAAAAACAAACATAACATTACTGAACGCAGCTTGCATGTGTTGAACAACCAAATAACAACACACTGCATAAATATTTTGCTGCCTTGGGTTGTGCTACTTGAGGCCTAATACAGGATAAGACTAATGTAAACAACCAATCACAATTTCTTGTGAATGCTGAAGTGCTTCACTACTGATCCTGCTTAATTGATGTTACTCTTCTCATTTGTCATTAGCATTACATAATTATTGCCTAATTTGAATATATATTCAAATCCAATCCTGACTAGTAGTGCAACCTTAAGAAACAGTCCGTCCAACATTTGTAAGTCTGATTGGCTATTGATTATCGAACATTCAGCAAAGTTTGATTTCATTGTCTTATATCAATGTCTCAAGCTATCTTGTTATTTGTTTTATCATTATTAGTTTATTTTCTAAGTCTATATTCTTTGGCAGCAATGGTATGTTTTGTCCAAGACACTTGCAGAGCAGGCTGCTTGGAAGTTTTCAAGGGATAACGGATTTGAAATTGTTATTATAAACCCAGCAATGGTTATTGGTCCCCTGCTGCAGCCTACACTAAACACCAGTGCTGAAGCAATCCTGAAGTTAATCAATGGTATGATGCTTGTCCAATTAACTTTTAAGCTGACCTGTTTGCAGTAGAAATTATAGCAACCACATTTGTTTTGGGTTTGCTATTTGTTCAAATACTTGTAAGGACAGTAGGGACGCAGGAAGAAGGGCAGACCTGGTGCAGTGGTGAGAGCTGTCTCACTGAATCACCAGGTCGTGGGTTCGAAGTAGCCTCTCTACAGGTTTTTCTTGGGGGGGGGGGCTTGACTCGGTTTTTTCCTTCCCCAGACCCCACTCATGTGGGAGCCTCCGGCACTGGGTCTGACTCGGTTTTTTCCTTCCCCAGACCCCACTCATGTGGGAGCCTCCGGCACTGGGTCTGCCCTTTTTACAGTAGGGACGTAGGACGCTTGTGCTTAGTACAGATTGTGTATTCTAGTTCACAGATTTTATGCCTTTTGCTGCAAACCTTGGATACACTTTGGAAAATTTACTGTCAAGTCTGTCATTCTGTTAATGATGATGTGTCCTCAAGCCACAGATCAAATAAAATGTAAGATCATTCTCCGAAGCTATGTGAATGTGTACATATGATAACTGCTATGTTGGCTTTCAATGTGTTACTCCTTAGATCAACAGCTCTATGATAACTGTTATGTGACTTTGCCTACAACTACTACTTTGCTCATGGCACCTTCCCTAATGTCCTTGCATTGTTTTGTTCTCGATTCATCCGGGCAACAAATTGAAGATCATCACATCATTTTCTTTTTATCTTTTGAAAGTTCATCATTTTCATATTATTGCAGGATCATCTACATATCCCAATCTTAGCTTTGGATGGGTTAATGTCAAAGATGTTGCCCTGGCTCATATCCTTGCATACGAGGTTCCCTCAGCAAATGGGAAGGTATTGCATGCTGGAAAGAGTTGTTCACTACTCAGAGCTAGTCAACATCATCCGCAACATGTATCCTACCATTCGTCTTCCGGACAAGTAAGTTCATATATTTCAAATGTGATGCCTCTTATTCACAAATGCAGTGCAATGTATATATATGGTTTGTTTGGAACAAGCCACTCTCCTGTGTTTTCACTTCGTTAAATATCTTTAGGGATAAGTGTTTTCCTATGACTTCAGACCATCGTGATATGATTGAAAAAGCATTGTCACTTTGTCAGCTGTGTCACGGGTCGATGTTCCTCAATCAGTGTTTGTCAGAATGAATAAAATAGTACTTAAACCTATTAGTTCATAGAACGAATAAGAAACTAAGTATGTTCCTCTTGGCAGGTGTGCAGATGACAAGCCATTTGTCCCAACCTACCAAGCATCAAAGGAGAAGATAAAAAGCTTAGGCATCGAGTTAATTCCAGTGGGGACGAGCGTCAAGGAGACTATCGAAAGCTTGAAAGAGAAGGGATTTGTTAGTTTTGACTCGAGCAACCTGTGAAACAGAAGTATTACTACTTAGTACCTGATATTGCATTAGAGACATGCATCAGACTTCGCAATTCACAAGTTACTTTGTAGCTTTGGTCTGTAAGGTTACCTAAAATAAACTGTGGCACGTCGCCACCTTGTACCTTTTGGGCATGTTATGTTTTGGTCGGCTTGAGAAACGTGATATATAATAATCGTTGCTGAGAAATGTGGTACACTCTATTACAGAAACTATTTTCACTAATAATGCTTCCTGTCTTTTCACCGGCCACACAAAAAATACAGGCGCCACTGTAGATCAAGCCTGTAGATGGGTTTGTGGGCCCACTGACTGAAACCTGTATTTTTCCACTTCCCTTGGGTTTGTGATCAATTTGCACAGGTCAATTTCCAATGGTGGTTAACTAGACTATCGCAAATCGAAATAGGCATTTTCACCGGTGGAAGTGGAAATATACCTATTTCTACTCGCTTAAGTCGAAATAGGTATTTCCACCAGCAGAAAGTGGAAATATATCCATTTCTAATAGCGGCTGTCTTAGTGAACGGCCAATGCAAATGTAGCTATAAATATCGCTTTGCTCTCTGAAATGTAACTTCCAACCTAAACCACTATTGTTGGAGTCCTTGAAGGATGAAATTTTTGCCAAATACAAGGAGATTTTAACCTTCAGAGTACCTTACCCAACCTTCCGTGAGGGAACGACTCGTGATCAAACTCTCCTCACAAGTGATTCTAGAATATCCTTAATTTTTTTTTTCCAGTAAGTCAAAACCAGTCTACTCTATAATTCCAACAGAGAACAAAACAAGGTTAAGCCCGCTAGAGCAGCGATATGCTAACTGATGATAATTCAATAGAAAAATATTTAATGACATCTTAAGACAATTGCTTTCTTGACAACGGCGTTAGAAGTGTTTGTTGGGTTTTCTTATGCACTAGTGTACTTTGTCAGTCAATTCCACGAGCACAAAAAAATTCCGTTCTAGCATTTTACATGGAGTATTTTAAAAATCATATTTTTATCATCGGAGAATCTCTAATGACTAAGATAGTCAATAAAAGATTTCTTGAATATATCACAAACAACGACTGGGCTCTAATAAGGATTAAAATAATATGGTAGTGCGACACTTGAAGGACTTCAAATAAAAAGATAAGATAAATAGTGTAGTGATGGGAGGATAGTGCGACACACGAAAGACTTCTAGTAGAAAAATAAGACAAATGGTGTAGTGATGGAGGACAACAAGCGACTAAAGATTCCTATGGACTCTATTGAATAAAGGCAAGTCCATAATAATCCTAGCAGATAAATGTAAATGACTTCAGGAAACCAATACTTTAAAATTATAAGGAAAATGACAACTAGTATAAGGATGAAAGCTTTAATTTGGTTTTGGTGAATTGATGAAACCCTATGTGCTAACCTATTTACTCTAGTGATCATGAGATAGGTAACACTATTTCAAGTGTTGGAGCAAATGAAGATCGTGTTGATGGTGGTGATGATCATGGTGATCAAGTGCTCGGCTTGGAAAAGAAGAAAGAGAAAAACAAAAAGCTCAAGGCAAATGTAAAACTTGATAGGAGCTTTTTGTTCCGGTGATCGAGACACTTAGCGAGTGTGATTACATTTAGAATCGATAGCCATATTATTAAGAGGGGTGAAACTCGTATCGAAATGCGGTTATCAAAGTGCCACTAGATGCTCTAACTCATTGCATATGCATTTAGATCTAGTGGAGTGCTAACACCCTTGAAAATGTTTGTGAAAATATGCTAACACACGTGTACAAAATGATACATTTGGTGGTTAGCACATTTGATCAAGGGTGGCGAAGTTGGAGTTGAGAAGGCGCTGTTTACAGCGACCGGACGCTGGACCGGTGCGTCCGGTCAGCTGGCGCATGGTGGCGTGGCCTCAGTCGAGTGACCGGACGCTGAACAGTGTTGGTGACCTGACGTGACAGAGGTGTGTCCGGTCACCTAGTGACGTACGCTGACGCAAGCAACAGAGCAAGGCAGAGGTGATCGGACTCACCAACGCGTCCGGTCATGCGTGACCTGACGCGTTCGGTCAAGATTGTTCGGCTCTAGATGCTTACTGGAGTTTATCTGACGCTGGGGTTCCACAGGGAGGCGTGTCTAGTCGTTGGGTGAAGCAGCGATAGCACGTGTGAGCTGGCGTGGCACCGACGCGTCCGATCCTATCTCAGGTGCGTCCGGTCATCACTTAACCACGCGGGGTTAGGTTTTGACCGTTGGAATCGTATGAACAACGTTGAACGTGGGGGACACGTGGACGGTTAGCAGCGATCGGACGCTGGGGCTTGTGCGTCCGGTTTGCGCGACCAGCGCGTCCGGTCACCCCGAGTGGCAGTGCAGTGAGAGCCCAACGGCTCTATTTCATGGGGCTCCTATTTAAGCCCTTGGCCGGCTTAAGCTCACTCTCTTGGCCATTTGTATTGACATAGCAACCTTGTGAGTTTAGCCAAAGCCCCCCACTCATCTCCATCATTGATACATCATCTTTGTGAGATTGAGAGTGAATCCAAGTGCATTGCTTGAGTTAATGCATCTAGAGGCACTTGGTGATAGTGTTTCGCTGCGGATTTCGCTTGTTAGTCTTGGTGGTTGCCGCCACCTAAATAGCTTGGTGCAGCGAGGATCGTCGAGCAGAGGAAGATGATTGTCTCCTGCTCCGATCATGGTGATTGTGAGGGGTTCTTGACCTTTCCCTAGCGGAGAGCCAAAAGGTACTCTAGTGGATTGCTCATGGCTTGTGTGATCCTCATCTTGTATTGGTTGTGCGGCACCTGATTGTGGGTTAGGCGTGTGATGCCTATAAGCACGTAAACCTCCAAGTGAGTGAATCGCCACAACGAGGACTAGCTTGTCAGCAAGCAAGTGAACCTCGGTAAAAAATTATTGTGTCATCTTGTCCCAAAGATTTCTTGGTATTCATTGTGATTGATTGACTTCATATTGTGATTGGCTCATCCCTCGATACGGTGGTATAACTCACTATCCATCTCGTGTATTTACATTCTTAGTGTAGCTAAGCTCTTTAGTGTAATTAGTTCTGAGAGCTAGCTTGTGTCAGGTCTAGTGGTTAGTGAGGCTCTTTAGTTAGTCTTTGAGAGCTTACTAACTTAGTGTAGTGAGACTACAGAAACTAGAATTGTGGTAGGTGGCTTACATTTTTAGTAGGCTAGTGCAAGAATTGCTTCACCTCATATTTGTCTAACCACATTGTTTAGTGTTGTTGTAGAAATTTTTATAGGCTATTCACCCCCTCTGGCCATTAGGACCTTTCAAGTGGTATCGGAACCATGGTCACCGTGATTTGAGGCTTAACAACCTTCAGTGTCAAAATGGCTCAAATCGACAACACCAAGATTTGGAAGGTAGTGGAGACCAAGATTGAGGTAGCCAATGCCGAAGCTCCCACAGCTGCTGAAGAAGTGCTACTCCAAAACAATGACATTGCTCTTAGTGCCATTCATGATGCTTTGGATGAATGAACATTTGAGCAAATCAAGAACATTGAGATGGCTCATGAGGCATGGAAGAAGTTGGAGGAGTCATTTGAGGGCACTCAAGCCATGAAGGGTGCAAATGCATATATTCTCAAGAAGAAGCTTGCAAGCTTCAAGATGAAGGAAGATGAGAGTGTGCCAGAGATGTTCCATAGGCTTCAAGTGCTTGTCAATGATTTCAAAGCACTTGGAGAAGAGATGAAGGACAAGGACTTCTCCCACAAGTTCTTAAGATGCTTACCATCAAGATTTGGCACATTGGTCACTATTCTAGTGAGGAGTGGTTTGGACACCATGACACCAAACCAAATGTTGGGAGATGTGATGACCGATGATACATATAGAGATGATGATGAGAAGGAAGAAAAGAAGGAGAAGAAGGATGAGAAGAAGAAGAGTGCGGCATTCAAAGCCACATCATCCAAGGGCAAGGCCAAGCAAGAATCATCAAGTGAAGATGAAGACTTGAGCTTTGATGAGATGGATGATGAGAAGATGGCTCTCTTTGTGAAGAGATTTGGCAAGTTCATGGTGAAGAAGGACTATCATGCTAGAAGAAAGAAATCTTCATCCAACAACAAGGAAGAGTCAAGAAGGTGCTTCAAGTGTGGAAGTAATGATCATCTTGTTGCTCAATACCCATACAATAGCGACAATGATGATGATGACAAGAAGAGCAAGAAGAAGGACAAGAAGGATAAGATGACCTTCAAGAAGAAGAAGAAGGGTGGTTCATATGTAGTCACTTGGGATTATGATGCTTTCTCAAGTGATGATGATGATAGTGATGATGACAAGATCACCAAGGAGATGGCTCTTGCAAGCATTGCCATAAATGAGAAGCCTTCTCTCTTCGACACTCCATCATGCTTCATGGCTAAGACCACTAAGGTACAAACTTGTGATGATAGATGTGATGAGGAACATGATAATGAAAGTGAACATGACAATGATGATGAACCAACTAAGGATGAATGTTGGTATTTGTTAACGCAAATAGATAAATCCACAAGCGCACGGATACTGCTGTAGCTTTCACCTAAAAGTATTCAGGGTATCGTATTTCCATAGGGAACGAGAAGTGTACTAGAAAGGATCAAGGGCGTCCAAGGTAAAAGTGTTTTTGTGGGTAGAGAGGGGTTTCCTAAGGTTTTCCCAAGATAACTAGA